CAGGAGTCCATTGTTGTTGTTGAGTGCTGGCATGATACCAGGAGTCCATTGTTGTTGTTGCTGTTTAGTGCCATTGAATCCGTTTCAAATAATAACCACCCTGTATAGGGTTTCCAAGGAGCAGCTGGTGAGGTTGAACCTCTGACCTTGTGATTCAAGATGCCATCTCACCCCAGCATTAATAGCCAAGTTAAAAAAAAAAAAAAAAAACAGAAGTAACAAATGCTGGCGAGGGTATGGAGAAACTATGACCTTCCTACATTGCTGATGGGACTGTGAAATGGTTCAACCACTCTGGAAAAAGGTATGGCGCATCCTCAGAAAGTTGGCAGTAGAAATACTGTATGACTTAGCAACCCCTCTACTTGGTATATATTCACAAGAAATAAGAGCTAGGCCACAAGTAGATATATGCACACTGATGTTCATTGTAGCACAATTCACAATAGTAAAAAGATGGAGAGAGCCTAAATGTCCATCAGTGGAAGAATGGATAAACAAAGTTTGGTACATACACACAATGGAATACTGTGCAAAGCTGAAGAATAATGATGAATCTGTGACCCACCCCATAACACGGATAAACCTGGAGGACATTATGCCGGGTGAAATTAGTCTACCACAGAAGGACAATTATTGTCTGAGACCACTATTGTAACAATCAAATCATTCAAGATCTAAGGACAAAGTTGAGAAGAGATGGGAAAGTGGATAGAATGGAAATAGGAATTACGGGAAGGAAGCAGGATAATTGCTGTTGCATGGAGTGGATTGCAGTCATTGAGATGAAACAGTGTATGATTGATTTGTTGAATGTAATACTGATAATCTTGTCTGTAAACCTAAAGAACATCATCCATGAAAAGAGTAAAAATCATTAAAAAAGCAAAGACCAAAATGAGTATTATAAAAGACTCTGAAACTTATTCTTGAGCATAGGAAAGCTAAAGCAGCAGGAAGAAATAAAAAAATAAAAGAGCTGAACAAAAATTTTCAAAGGGTGACTTGAGTCAGGTATTATAATGAAAAGTGCAAAGATCTGAAGTTAGAAACCAAAAGGGAAGAACACACTCAGCATTTCTCAAGCTGAAAGAACTGAAGAAAAATTCAAGCCTTGACTTGCAATATCGAAGATTTCTATGGGAAAATATTGAATGATACAGGAAGTATCAAACAAAGATAGAATATTCAGAGTCACAGTACCCAAAATAATTGGTTGATGCTCAAGCATTTCAAGAAGTAATATATGATCAAGAACTGATGACATTGAAGAAAGAAGTCCAAGCTATACTGAAGATGTTGGCAAAAAATAAGTCTCCAGGAAAATTGACAGATCACCAATTGAAATGTTTCAACAAACTGATGCAGCGCTGGAGGTGCTCACTCATCTAGGCCAAGAAAGTTGGAAGACAGCTAGCTGGCCAACCAATTGGAAGAGATTCTTATTTGTGTCCAATACAAAGAAAGGTGACTCCAGGGAATACGGAAATCATTGAATACTATCATTAATATCACATGCAACTAAATTTTTGCTGAAGATAATTCAAAACCAGTTGCAGCAGTACATTGACAGGGAACTTCCAGAAATTCAAGCCAGATTCAGAAGAGAATGATGAATGAGAGATAATCATTGCTGACATCATGTGGATCTTGGCTGAAAGTAGAGAATATCAATAAGATGCTTTCTTGTGCTTTATTAACTATGTTATGTGAATCATAACAAACTATAGATAACATCACAAAAAATAAGTATTCCAGAACACTTAATTATGCTCATGAGGAACCTGTAATAGACCAAGAGGTAGTGGTTTGAACAGAACAAGAGTACAATGAATGATTTAAAATCAGGAAAGGTGTGCATCAGGATTGTATCCTTTCACCATACTTACTTAATTTGTATGTTGAACAAATAATCTGAGAAGCTGGATTATATGAAGAAGAATGTGGCATCAGGACTGAAGGAAGACTCATTAGTAACCTGTGATATGCAGATGATACAACCTTGTTTGCTGGGAATGGAGTAATCATTGATGAAGATGAAAACCTACAGACTTCAGTATGGATG